CCGGGGGTGGCGCCTTCCGGGGGCGGCGCGACCGCTGTTTCTTTACCCTAGCCTCCGCGGATAGCTTCAGCGTTGGTCTCAGTTGGATTTAGGCTTGTCAGCGTTTATACTGAATTTGGGGAGACGGCAAAGGACTGACTTTGTAGCACAGTTGATGCATTTATGATGAGAAGTGCTGGTGGCCTTGTGAAGAAGCGTGCTGGGGGGCTGCCTGGGTGGCGAGCCGGGTGTAGACCCCAGACGGGGCCCCCTCGCTGTGCCCCTCTCTTCCACGCTCCATCCCTGCCCCGATTTCTGACAGCTGTGCTTTCCGAAGGCCGGGCACGTGAGATCATGTCCAGCGATGCATCCTGGAGTCACCTGGGGATTATTTAGCACGGAGGACAGAGGCTCAGGGGGGGAGACGGTGGTTCCCGATGGTTGGAGGGCTGCCTTAGGAAGTTAAGTGGATTCCATGTGGCCGGAGGACCCAGCTCCGAGGAGGTGAGAGTTTCACAGAGCAATTTTGGGATCCAGGTGAGGAAGCAGCTCCCGTTCCAACTGTGGACGTGGAGAATGTAGGCTGTGATGCTGCGATGTTTGGACCGAGGCGGAGGATGGGCAGGAAGGTTGTCAAAGCAGTTTCCTCAGAGCGTGAGGTCCCTCCCACCCTGGCTCCCCTCCCGAGGAATCCATGGTTAAAGCATTTGAATGGAAGAGGATTCTTCCAGTTTTCTGGTGACCTGACTATACACACATGCAAAAAGTTTTATTAATAAACTCAAGATGCTGACATACATTAAGAGTGAGCCACCTGAAGTTTTGGAAATACGTCCCCTCAGAGGGCACCGAAGCCCTGGGCACAGCATCCTGGTCTGAGTGGCCGCGCAGAGGGCAGAGGGGCTGAGCTGGGCAGACGAGGAAAGGTGCTTAGATGTACTTACAACACACACAAGGGCTGGTCTGTGGGTTCTCGAGGTCCTTGTAAGGAGCCTGGATTTGCTTTGCTAATTGCATGGGGAAACATTTCAAAGATTTCAAGCGGAGGAATGGGTTGATTAGAGTGTGTTTTTCTAATGGTCGCCATGGTTGCGGGGAGTGCAAGGAAGTTGGAGGCAAGGGTGGGGACAGGTGTGACCGCCGTGATCCTGGGAGGAAGGGGGACAGCACATGGGACCAGGGAGACAGCAGGAGCCGTGGGGGTCAGTCATCCCTACAGCTTTGGTCTGTTTGTTTGTCTAATGCCGAAAGTTTGTTGTCTGCCTTTTATTGAATGATATGTTCAAATCAAAGCAAGTCTGTTGTAGTCATAGGTTTTTCTACAGGGGTGAGTTTTAATTGATCTTATTGCTAAAGTTGACCTAACTCTTTGGAAGACTCCTGGGTGCTGCAAATAGTATCAGATGTGATTGTCCTGTTTCACCATTCTCAGGAAGCAGTGAATGGTGATGGAGTGAGCGTGAGCGTTGTGCCAAGAGCTGGCCTTGTTGCTATAAGCCAGCCAATGTCCCCCCCCGCCCTTTTTGCCGAGACCACTGCGCAGATCTCTAAGGGCCAAGAGCGTCCCAGCAAAAGGCATCTCTAAGGATGGCAAAGCTCATGGCCAGGAACACTGTGAAACCATCCAGAAATGCCCAGAAAAACACTCCTTTTGCTCTGAGTGTTTGTGCTGTTATCCAGCGCCCAGTGGGTACATTTACCGCTCAGTGTTTTAACTTTTTAACAGCTTTGGAGAGAGCTGCCTTTCCAGAACTCTTCATCCTCAAGTTCTTTTTTTTGTTTGTTTTTCTTTCAACCACCTTATTCAGTCCTATAAACATGGTTTATTAAATTCATTTCCGTGCAAAATCCAGACCAGCCCTACAGTTAGGCTTTGTAAACAGAACTCTGGCCAGAGCTCTGGGCCTCCCCAGTTTCTCTGCTCTTCAGCACCATCCTTGTCCAAATCAAACAGCAGAGGAAACACGAGAACATCTGAAAGTTAGTTCTTGCCTGATGGCCTTTCTCACGGACAAGCGCATTCAGCACATCTCCTTCAAATACGGGCCAGCTGGTACTTCCGTCTTGTTAGTAATAGTTTCTCTAGACCTGCCTGTAGACCAAGTGATGCTCCATTTCCACCATGTCCCTGCTTCTCTCTCCTGGCAGATGGCTACACCACGGATGACATTGAATTTTACTGGCGTGGCGGCGATAAGGCCGTCACTGGAGTGGAGAGGATTGAGCTCCCACAGTTCTCCATCGTGGAGCACCGTCTGGTCTCCAGGAATGTTGTCTTTGCCACAGGTGGGTCCTGCGTCCGCTCACACTCCCTGGAGGGGCTGCTGGCTGCCCGGGCTGTAATTGTATCATTGTCGAATGCCCTGCCGCTGACCCTACGGTGCAGGGCCATCCAAAGAAGGACCGTCATCAGTAATTCATCATCTTACACACCCCTTTTCTCTGTATCTAGAGGGGATCAGTGTGTTTTGATGGGTAGGAGGGACCAGGAGATGCTCTCTGCACTGATTATTGAGAAGTTAAAAGACCAGGGGGAGGGCATAGCTCAGTGGTAAAGCACGTGCTTAGCATGCACAAGGTCCTGGGTTCAATCCCCAGTACCTCCTCTAAAAATAAATAAATAAACCTAATTACTCCCTGAAACTGGGGGTGAATTTAACCAACCCATAGGCCACTGATGGGGAGAGAGGAAGACCTGAGGGGGTAAATGCTCTTCTCTCAAAAGTAAGAGAGCTTCTCCCCACTGGACTGGCAGTCGGCCTGGGCCACCTGCACTTAGTGATGCCTCTAGACACGGCCGTCTGCTCCTAACAGTATCTGTGGGTTGCCCCGGCCTGGCTTTCACTGTCATCTTAGCGCCAACTGTCCAAAACCGAGAAGGTATCTTCAGCTCTGCTGTCTGTCCAGGCTGAGGTTTTATTAAGTTAGAATCATGTATCTCACGTGCTTTCTCGGTATTCTTACTGAACACTGTGTGATAGCTGAGGTTGTGAACAAAAGCGCTGTGTAAACTGTGAGGTAGTGTGAAGACCACAAGCTCCAGGTTGAGATTCTCAGTGAAGGCAGAGCGGGACCTCCCTGCTGGGCCTTCTCTTGTCAGTGCAGCCGAAGCAGCACCGAGTAGGTGGGACTCCGCCCTGGTCGGGTACCAGCGTCCGTGAAGCCCACACGCCTGCCCGCCTGCCTGCTGCCTCTGACTTCAGTGCCTGTGACCCACAGCGCCCTCTTCTCTTGCCCTGGCCACTTTCTGCTCATTCTTTGGCTTACTCTGCGTGTGGTTTCCTCTGTGAAGGCGTTTGCCCCTGCTCTGCCCACACGCTGCCTGCCAGGCTGGGTCGCGGGCAGCTCTGCATTCCCGCAGTCCTGCGTGGACTGCCGTCCAGCTCTGCGGTGCCTGTGTCCTCAGGAGACCCCTCCCTTAGGAGGGACCTGTCCCGGTCGTGACTTACCCTGCTCCGCGTCCACTCCTTGTGTGATGCTCGACACGTCACAGTCACACAGCCATCACTGACCAGTGAGCAGTGAGCCAGGTGCCAATGTCCTTCCACTGCAGCCTCTAAGAACCAAGGGATGTGCACGTAGAGACAGCAGTGTGAATGTTTAAGGTCCGTTTTCATGCGATGCTACTTCTCCTCAGTTGCACAATGTCCTGCGGTCTTCGGAGGGGATGTGCGGGACTGCTGCCCTAGTGTGGGTGGTGAGACACACGAGGATCACGGAGTTATCATTACGGAATGGTTCCCACAGCCAAGAAGATTGCCCTGTGATGTGTTGAAGAAAATGGTTTATTGCTTTTAGAACTAGGATTCCAGCTGTTCCATGCATCAAGTGATAAAAGAGGTCCGCTCAGAACATAAGGGTTGTCTTCTCTCAGTGCATAATCCTGCCCACGCCTGCCTTGTGAGAAGGCTGCAGATACGGCCATTTGGGTACCGCCTGCAGCATCTTTTATTGCATCTTCCTGCAGCCTCCTCAGAAAGCCTGCTGAGAGATCTGTGGCAGGTGTGGTGCTTCCAGGGGAGGCCTTCCTGAATCCTCTTGCTCAAAAGCACTCGGGGCACTTTTTTCTACATGCTGTCTCTGTCTTTCTTTGAAGTACGGATACAGTAGAACATATCCTAAACACGTCCGGAGAAAAGATAACTGCAGAAATGCGGGAGAAGATTTAAGCTCTGCCAAGAGCAATCAGGCCGCACGCAACGTCACGTCTTCTCCCAAGTTTCTGCATTTGCAGGGTGTCGCCAGCGGCTCCCTGTCAGTCAGTTATAAACCCCCCATCCTGCAAAGAGCCTGCACTTTAAAATTATTCTAGTTAATTTATTTATGTAGAAACATCATAAGCCACACTTTTAAAAAACTACTTTAAAACTAAATATTATACTAATTTATTTTCCTTTCCACCAGTGTCCTGAACTAATGAGATTTCGATCAGTAAACTAGATTGAAGGAGTCTCTGGGCTGAAAGAGAATTCTCAGAAATAAGATTAGGGAAGAACCAGTGCTCTGGAGGTTTCCGGAGATACTCCTCAGGGTCATACAAGTGACATTTTGTGCCTCACCTACTTCTCCCTCGTCCTGCCTCCTTGAGGACTTTGTTGGAGTGGCTCCTTGCTGTGGTTGTCCCGGGGGTACAGTCCTAAATCCATCTCCTGGGAACCCTGAGGTTGCAGGCTACGGTCCTAAATATTCACTCAGCGGCTGGCGTGAATGGGGAGTGGGCCTGGCCCTGGGCTCAGGGAGGGAGCAGGGGGTGCCTGGCCCAGCGGGGTCACTCACTGGCCTGTGAAGTTTCAGCGATGCGCCCTGGACAGCATCACGCAGACTCTTAGTTGGAGGGGTGTGGAAGCAGGAAGCAAGCCACAGGAAGAGGGCTCCGTGGACAGGGTGTGGAATCTCAGAGCCTGGAGCCAGCGCTCCCAGAGCTCAAGGTCACACTCTGGAACTTGCTGGCAGTGTGACCCTTGGTGATCTCCTGGGTCCTTGTTTGGTAGGACTGTTGAGAGAAGTACATGAGTTCATGTAAATAAAGAGCCCAGAGTGCCTGGCCCAAGCTGACAGCAGTTAGCTGCCATTAATCAAAACGCGTGGGTCCAGGAATGAGGCGTACTTGAGTCTGAGGACAGACGGTCTGGTGACTGATCAGAACTTTAAGATTGGAAAATGTGTGACATCATTCTGCTGGATTAGAGAGCACGATGTAACTGACTCCTAGTTGCTTATCTGAGGGTTTTTAAGAATTGGGATTGTTTGGGGTTTGCATTTCTATCCCTAATGCATACCCCAGCATCTCACCCGCTCAATAGGTTGAAAACTGAATGGTTATTGAACTGAGAGAGGAGATTTGACTGTCATTACTAAGTATGTATTCAATCCTAGTCAAATGAATCATTTCTGCAAAATAGATACTGTATAAAGTGGTAACATTATATATTCAAATATTTAATGCATGAAAATACTGTGTCTTAACAGGAAACTCCACATAAAACCTCTTTATAAAATTAAGTACACCCAGAAGGAGGGAGTTTTATTCCATGACTGTATTTTTATAAAAGACAACAAAAAAAAAGTCTGAGTTTATCTCAACAAGTATTTATTCAGTTTCTACCATGATTCAGCAAACAGGTTTTGGAAAAAGTATTTCAACCCCTTTCCAGCTCAAGTAGAAATGAAGTAAGACTCTTTTACTCACTCTAACTTCTAACCCTACCAGTGGTGTGCTGCATTATAACTCATAGCACCTTGTGGTTGAGATGTTTCACTGGGGTCCCTGGGAGAATGGAACCTGACAAATAAATTCGCCCAAGTTGAAGTACAGGAAAACCGACCCTCAAGGATGGTAGTGATTTGACCAAATTTACATAGTAAAGCTAAAAAGGACAGACATGCATCCGCAAGGCTCCTGACAGATGGGAAGCCCTGATGGATTTTTTTGACAAAGATTTTAAAAATTAGGGTTTTTTTTTAAGCTTTGTGTAAATGATCAGGTCCCCCACTTGTGCATACTCATGTTACGAGGGTTCTTACAAAACCGACAAAGAGTTGCTGACAGTGTCCACAGCATCTCCTTTACGATCTCATATTAATGTCCGTTCTTGACGAGCAGTGCTTTTATGCACGTTTCTAAAAACCGTTGTTAGGATTGGAGGCTTCCAAAGTCTTTTTTATTTTTCGGCAGGGGAGGTAATTAGGTTTTTTATCTAACAAAGGTGCATGGGTTTTGAACCTAGGACTGCGTGCCGGCTAAGCCTGCACTCTACCACTCAGCTATCCCCGCCCCTGGATGCCTTCAAATCCCCAACCCAGGGACCTGGAGTGGATGAAGCCAATGTCCAGGAAGCCTGAGTGGTGAGAAACGGGCCTCTGCCTTCCAGTCCACCCTGTGCTTTGTTGCCAGCTAAGCAGCCACACAACGCCGTTTTCATTAAGCCGCTTCTCAGCTGCAGACCCTTGGGTGCTGGTCTTTGTCCACAGCATAGGATCGAGTCTCCTTCACCTTGGATCCAAGTCTGGGTCCGGCCTCCCCTCTCCAGTTTCGCGCACAAGCATCCCCAACACAAAGCCTTTGTTTCAGTTGCTGCCTTCCAGCTGTTCCTTCCACTCCCGTGTGCTCCCTGCAAGACTTTCGCTGCTGCTCCAGCCCTCGTTTGATGTATTTCCTTCCCCTTTTTCTTCTGTCCATACCCAGTATATTCATCCACGGATAGCTGAGCCACCAGCACTTCTGACTGGCCCTCCTTGAGCGTCTCTCCCAGTTACCTTGTTCCTTTGCAAAAGCTTTGACTCACACGCTGTGTTGTTCCTGTCAATTGCCGTATGTTATTACTCTCACTCTCGTATGTATCTGGCATTCATTTAAAATCTTTTGAATTAATTTATGTGTTCATCACCATGTGCTCGGGATTCCCACAAAATGCCCCAACCTGAAATGCAGAATTCTCCTCGAAAGTCAAACAGAGAAAAGAAAAAAGAAAATTCTCACTTAGTCCCATTGTATATCACTCCCTATTTAAATACACTGGGTTTCTTGGAAAGTCCTGGATCTGTTACCAATATTCCTTCTTGATTCAGAAGTACATTTTTCAATGACGGACTTTATAAAGTGAATGTTCAGATTATCCTTTGGCACCTACAATCTATAGGATTAAGCCAAACCGGAAAACACGCCTGGGCGGCCTTTCCAAGAAAGGGGAGGGAGGTCAGATTAAAGAGAAGCGACCACAGAAGGGAGCAGCTTGCTGACACCTAGATGTGAGCTCACGTGACCTTTCATTTCTGCTTTAACCATG